GGAAAATTGAGTTGTTAAAAATGGTTTTGTAGGAAGACATCATTGGGAAAATGTTTCCCAAGATAGGAATAAACAGTTAAGACAAGATGGAAGTGATAAGAGGATTTCTATCAAGTTGAAGGCTATAGTGTGTCAAAATTAAAACTACGCTAATTTATAAGCATAAGTGAATGTCATCTTTGGGAATAACTTAAGAAAAAAGAATAAATGACAAAGGGTAATGCAATAAAAGTAACTTCTGAAATAACTTCTAAGACGAATATATTTTAAATCAAAAAGTGCTTTTTAAAAATGGTTTTTAGGGGTTGAAAAACATATGGGAATAAATGAGTGAGATTACTCAGGTAAATGCTTAATATATAGAAATTAGTATATTGCATGGTCAATAAATATTATAAAAGATTCTCGAGGAACCCTAAAAAAGTAAAAAATTCCTGAAATTGAGGACAGTTGGAAGGCATGATTGTGAGAATTCGGAGGAAATATGAGACGGTATATAAAATAAGGCCTGAGAAGCCGTAGTCAATGACAAGATAAATAAAATAGTGAATTACCTCTTCTTTTTGGGCAACAGTTTCTTCTTTCTCCAAAAGACTTTGTTTTAAAAGAGCTACCTCGTTCGACTCAATAGCAACACTAACTTTGTCACGATCGTATTCCAATTCAGAAAGCTGAAAACAAGTTAAAAATGAAGGATATGCAGACCAAGAAGGTTTGGCTCTTAGTATGGTCACAGTCTCCTTTAGATTCATATAAGTGGATTGACCTCGTTTTCGCAACTTGGTCTTGCTGTCAGGGTGATTTAGTTGAATGCACCTTGTTAGAAACCCTCTACCATAGTAGTCATCATAATTCCCAGACAAGTGTCTTTGATGGGTTTGTAATTTGATGTGGAGAATGGTAGACTCACTGATGACGCCGACTACGATGCCGGCGAAACGTCTTAGAATGTAATAAGTCGAAGGCCTGATGCCGGGAATCATGAAAACTACTATAGCAGAGGACTTCGGAAAAGGTGCCTTAAATTAAGCCGCCCTGACAACAAGATCAAGTTGCGAAAACGATATCAACTCACTTCATAAAAATGTAAACTGATAAAATGCTCTAAACACACTGTTAGTATTAATTGCAGACTTAGCACTTACAAAAGTTCAGAATCACGAGTTGCTTGATGGATGAATATAGGGAGCATAATAGAATAAAAGCATCGACTTAATTTTCACAGGATAAGTACTTCGATATAAAACTGGTAATATCGTTGAATATTTCCTCATACACTCCATCCTTATAGTAAGCTAATACATTACTAAGTACAAATTCCAAAATAGCAACTCAACTGGTTAAAAATAATATTTTTTAAAAGATGTTGCCCCAGTGATCAATGGATGTTTGTGTCTCTATACTAAATTAATTTAAAGATTTATTTGCAGCTTTTCGTTTAGAAAATTATCATGGAATTTATATAGAATTCAGCTTAAAGTTTAATAAAGTGCAGTCTCGACTTCTCCATTACTCTACGATAAATCTGCTTGATTGCAAAGCTAAGTAAATGACCGACCTAGTCTTCTACGTCTGTGGAAAGTGTAATGTTATAATATATAATAATAAGCTCATTATATAAATGAATGGCTTTATATATAGATTGAATGATCACGCTTAGAGTACCCATACAGTACCCTTTAAGAGAATCCTTAAGAAATATTTTCATATCAATAAAAAATTGCTAAGATAAAAAGGGGATAAGTCAAGCATAGGACATAATTTAATAGTATCAAATTTTTCCTGAATCAATGGAATAGGAGAAGTGTGGAGTAAGACCTGTCGACGTAGTCGGCTCTCAGAAGAAGAGATTTCCTCGACCAGATTAAGTCCTGCTTGTAGTTCAACTTGGAGTCTTGTGATGTGGGCTTTGAATTCAGCTTTAGAAATCTCCCAACGATTAGATTCATCGGCCAAAACGCACTCTGCCTTAAGACGAGCTGAAAGATAAAGTAAAAAAATGAAAAATATGTCGTCTTCATAAAAAGAATATTTATCCACGAATTTCGTAGTATTTTGGTAAAATATGAATGCAAGTGTGGATAGCACAAATAAGAGGACTGCTGATAACAATGTCAAGATATGTTTTCCAAAAAAAATAAAGATAGAATTTTTCGTTTAAAATTAGGTTTTCGACGGAAAGAAGGCATTATCAATCCCTTTATCGGCTTAAATGAAATAGGGTGAACACATCTATTACTCTAGAGTAGTGGATTATAAACAATCTGGAAGTTGTATAGCAAGGAAGCGAGATACGAGTAAAGAGGGTAGGAAGATGTAATAAGATATGAGTAATAACATAAATTCGTCAGGAATGGACCTCACTTGTCCCTTTTAGGGAGTTTCGAGACTACCAGTAAATCAGTAATATGAGATGTATTCACCATATTTCGCTTAAGGTGATGAAGGACTGGTAGTAGAATTTTCCCACAATGATATGAGTAGAGCTGACGTTTCAATTGAATTTCACATTGCCTTGATTTCCCAAAAGTTGTTCTCACCCAGGGTGGACTGCAGTTTTGACCTCGCATCGGACTTATCAACACCTCCAGCGGGAGTCAAACCGTGACAGTGCAGAATGGGAGCGTGACACGTAAACCACTCGGCCACATAGCCAAGGGGGTGCTGATGAGACCGAGGCGAGGTCGAAACTGCAGTCCATCCTGGATGAGAAAAACTTTTGGCAAAGGAAGGCAATGTGAAATTCAATGGAAACGTCATCTCTTCTCATTTCATTGTTTCGGAAAATTCTACTGCCAATCTTTCATCACCTTAACTGTAATAGTGTGAATAGATCTAATATTTAGTTTATTTATCTTCTTGTTATCTATATTCCTAGAATTGATATTACTGTCTATATTTCTTATCTCGTAGTCACCTGTGAATTTTGTGAATTCTTTTTGCCAGACCACCTTCTATACCCCAAAGTTTATCGAAATCTCATTAAGAAAACAGCGTGGAAAGGGCTTGTCTAGTCCTGGTTCTAATCGGGTCATCTAATTTGTTTACAATTTTTTCTAGTCTAACTCTAACCACCACTAGATACCTGTTTCAGTTCCCTAATATGTAAATCTTTTTTCAGGTTAACCGCACTTAAACATCAAATAATGTTAAACCCAAATTTATAAGAATCGTATAGCCTTACTAGCAGAGATATATAAACCTTGGTTTTGCCATAGCTACAATATAGTTGTTAAGTATTTTTACCATAATTACGTTTTTACTGCGAATTTAAATTGTGTTTCTTAGAGTCTATTAGTCAGTAATCGATAAACCCACTTCTATTTATAGTGAAAGTGTGTAATGAGGTGATTCGAAAGTCGATCCCAGCAGGAGATGAGAGTGGATTCCTCTTAGTCTGCTGTTCGTTAGCTTTACTTTAAAAATCTTTTTTGGCTCCGCCCCAGAAGCAATCATTCAATTCCTTTAAAAATGTACTAGGCTTTCGCTTCTCATATGTCCGATATCATTAGGGCAGGGTATTAGTCTTATAACTATATTTAAACTACGTTTCGGGATAAGCTGCTGGGTCTTGTCGACTCGTTAGCTTAAATACGGTTATAATAATGATATCCGTCATGTTACCGACAAAAGCCTAGCGCATTCTCACAAAAATCAAAGGAGCTTGCTTTGGTGAAAGTATCAAAAGGAATATTGCCATAGAGCAAACCGACAGCGAACCAAGAGAAGCCTGCTGTCACCTGACTCTGGAAATGAACATGCATACTATGGACTCCGGACAAGGTTCGGTCCTCCAGGTCTAATGGCAATACGACCGGGTTGCGACAACAGGGTCGAACAACTTTTATCATTGAAGGCATGAAGACCAAGATGGTGTGGCCTTTTGTGTGGTCGAAGTCCTTTATAATTATTTGTTATACCAAAATATAATGTCATTAATTTATCAAGTATAGCTAAAGAAAATTGTACTAAGTTTGTCTAGGAAAGATGAATAAATTTTTCGTATATAAGTAGAGTTTCAAGACTATCAGTAACACATTGTTTGGCGGGATTGTGGATGAAGAAAACGAATTTTTAACCGAAGATATTAATTAAATCCAGGATGGCGTTGTCTTTTGTGTGATCGCAGTCTTCTTTCCTTGTATAGATGCTGTTTGTCCTTGTTTTCGCAACTTAGCCATATTGGTAGAAAGACCTAAAGGAACGAACCTAGTCAGTAATGCATTGTATACATGATAATTTCCAAAGTCGGGTCGTGGACGTGGTACATTCCCAGACGATTCGCCGGCATCGTTAGTAAGTCGTGCCATTCGTAGCACCATACTGCAACTCGTCAAATAGACAAGTCAAGTCGATCCTTTGATCAAATTTGTGCTAAACAGTTGTGGCATTTCTTCTGTCCTGGGCTATTCATCTTTAATATATTCTCGTATCAAGCCTTCACTATCATAATTTTTCCTTGCTTATTTAAATGTAGTGTGGTGTGCCCTTTTAAGCAGCTTTCATGAGAACCCTCCACAATACACGATAGCGTTCTCACCCCCTTTCACCCTTGTGCTGTAAATGTTGATCAGAGTCTGCCATATTGTTGCGCAGTCCTCCTACCCTAGGTCTTATCAGTCTCCCTCTTGCCCCGTTTGATCCGTCAACTGTCTCACTGGTTCAAGTATTTCACTCGACCCCTGACAACCCATCTGTACTAGTCGAGTCGGTATTTCCCACACTCTGCTTCCGCTAGACTTACTTGAGGCTAAAGACCCTGAGTAATTATCATTATCAAACCCTCAATTCATGGACCATGTATATGAAAAAAAAGACCTACTGTCAATCAACTAGCTCCAGTCTCCACCCTGTCTATTCTGTTTCTATCCCTAATACAAACTC